GAATGGGCATCTGAATCGAGAATCGACTGGTTTGGTTTGACTCTCGATTTTAGATCAAGAATCGAATAACCGATTCTTCCTAAATTTTTTTTAATTTATCTATCTTAACTAAGCCAAAATATCTTTTTCTAAATAAATTTGCTAACTAACTAATTTAATCCAAATTTAAAAATATGATTTTCCTATTTCTAATTTCTAGTCCAAGTCAACTTAATCAAATTGACTTAAATTTTACTCAAATCTGTTATTCTACCATATTACCGTTTCTATTGTTTAGCTGGCCAATTCAATGAGGGATTCTTTAGCCAAAAGACGGTAATTAGCACCAGCCACCAGACTAACCCAAACCCAAAGTCGTTTATCCAACAGCACGACCAGGATTCGAGCACTCTCTTTGGACATTCTTGTTGGATATAGTGAAGAACATAAACATAAAGGGCCGATTTGATGAAATGAAGAAATCGAATTGAAACTCGATTGCGCTTCTCTTCATTATTATTAGCCCACTATCTTTTTCTTCCTGTAATTTAAACAATCAAATCTATGGATAACTCAACAAAAAAAACGCAAAAGATAAATAAGATCGGATTACATTATTTTGTAAGAGCTAAGGTTGAACTTGTCATTAGTTGAATTAATATAGTTTGTAAATATTAAAAAATTTAATTATAGTGCGGAACTTGAAAATCGAATGGAAAAGAACCAAACTGAATCAAATAGAACCGAACTCGAACAGTTTCATAATTAAATTTGGATCCAACGATTTCACTTACTAAATATCAAAAAATTGGATTCAAACCATATATGTCCAACCCTATTCCCATTAAAAGCGAAATGGATTGGTAATAACATGTTGTGTTAGGCTGCGTAGAATTTACTCATACTGTACACTTATTCATATAAATATCGATATATGTGTAAAAAAAATCATAAATAAATAAATAAAATTATTGAGGGGACCGTTTCTATGTGTGAGGGACGTCTGAAAATCCCATGTATAGAAATTCTATAAAGATATATGGATGTAAAAGATGTCTATGTGTGGTCGTGAGAAGGGCGACTTAAGCCTAGCCAATCCCATTTTTGATAAAAGTTTATAGATCCAATCATGTCGAAACATTCTCCTACATGTTTGTTAAAATTTCGCAAGCATACGAGATCGATGACGAGAAATAGAATTAGTAAGTTGAGAGTATCGTTCGACAAGGATCAAATTCAATTTAAGTTTACTAGTTATGCATAGAATTCGAATTGTGTAAAATAAAAGAAAGATTAGGATTTGATTTTTATGCCAAATTATCTAAGAAAGTGGTAAAAAGTGTTTTTTGATCAAATTATGGATAATTGTATTGCATTTTGAATCCGCTTATCGCTATCTATTTCAATTCTTGATTTGTAGTCTTGTTTTTGTCAAGCGTTCTTGACAATTGATGATATATAATTTTCCTTTTCAAAATAAATTAGTTTTATCCTAACCATGACCTGAATCTATTGCTAACTCGAATTCGAATAACTAAAATGCATTAAATTTTAGATTATCTATATGATTACTCACGTGATAAATGTTATTCTTAAAATTTATTGCACATATGTTAATTTTATCACGTTCTAAATTTATTGTGAGTCTCTTAACACTACAACAAGCAACTAATTATCTAATTTAAACAATTAAATAATGCAATAAGGATACAAAATTAATTAAGAAACAATAATTACTATACTATTAGTTTGAATTAAAATAAATAAACAATGTGATTTGTCTTCAATGACTACGAGAAATCTAGCTAAACATGTTTCTATTGATAAAACAACAAAAGGAATGGAAAAGCATAACATGGAAGTGATCAAGCTAAATTTCAAAAGAGTTTCAATCAAATAAGGAAAGTTGTTTTCGTGCGCATGATTGTTTCTGCACAGTTTTCAATATTTTTGTCATAATTTTCTCTCTCAATATTCGATTAAGATAATTCAAAATGCGTTGAAAAATTAACTCAAAGAGTTATAGTCATTGTAGAAATAATACTTTTTCAAATTCGAATGTTTACTATGTCAAAAATGGGTCTCAATCTCTATTTAAAAATCTAGAACATGACCCATGCAGTTGGAAATTGATTTGTATCACTCATTTTTTACTTCTAATTGCATCAAATTGACTCATAGCAATCTTCAATTATCCTTTTGTGATCCGAATAAATTATTGGATATTTGCAGTTTGATCCTGAACTTTGTATTTCTTCCTTTTTCGCCCCCTTTTTATTTCTTACTTCCAATTCACCCAATTTGTCTTGAGTTTTGCCTAACAAATAAAATTGACATCTAATTAAGTCATAATTAATCGAAATTAATTACAATTAACTACACTTAATGGCCCAACACTGTCGACAGACAAGACCAAAATATTGATCGCAACCAAAGGAGGCCACTTTTCAAGATTAGGGCATTCTCTGTAGTGAGCCTACTCAAATTAGAAGTAACCCGACAATGTTTACACATAGGTGCTCAAAGTATTCCTTCATCTTCTGTTAAAATTGAGATCGATTATGTTATATTTTTTGTTATCTTGTTAGTGTTATGAATGACATAAAGGCTGAGCACTTTTCATTATATTCAGAAGAAGATAAAGGAATCATTTCATTATGTTTGCCATTTGGTATGGAAAATTTCATAATCTAATGAAGAAACATTTTACCATTCCTAAAATACCCTTCAACCTGCATGATTTTTGTCTCCATTTTAATACAGTGGTACAGCAATATCCCACTAGGAAGACAATAGTGATTCAAGAAAATCAATATAGATATCCCAAATTGTGGCTCTGATTAAAGAAAAAGAGCCTCTCGAGCGATCAGTTTTGTAGATCTTTTTGGCTTGGATGTTGCAATTCAAGGAATCTATCATGCTCAAAATCAAGAATACACTCATTCAAGTATCTTAACCACATTTTAGTATTGATGAATATTTTAATGGCGCGTCTGTTATATCAGATTGAACGATAATATAAGTGCGTTTTTGGTAATGATAATATTAAGATAAGCTAATGTATTGTCTATTATATAGTATAGTGTTGTCATGGATCATGAATCACCCATGTCGCGTGTCCCAAGCCCCAACCTTCTAGTTTTGAGAATGATTTGGAGAGAGTAGCTTGATTTTCATTTCAAACTCTTAATTCTTGTGAAATTTCATAAAGCTTGGCACTTGGGCAGTAGACTGTGAACTCATTCCATCATGACTGAATTTTTTTTACCATGGGGGCATCTTTAATGCTTCAATGGATTGCTAAAAATATATGTTAAATAATTAAGCAAAAATTGATAATTTAAAAAAAAATAAAAAAATCCTTCTACAAGGTTCTGTCAAGCTTATGTAGCAAAAGAAATACATACATTATCTAGAGCCTCCTCTAGATTCAGAAGTTTTATTAGACTTTCTGACCCGATAAAATTATATTATTAATGCAAACTTAGATACAATTTTGTTTTATTTTAAGAAAAGATACATAGACACTATTACTTATTTGTAATTGGAACCCATATGAAACAAATTTTAGACTTGATTGTATACATCAATATCAAGTACTTAAGTCTTTCATTCAATTCATTAAGGGGAATAGTGGTGCCCTTGCCAACTTGCATGTCATCTAGATAACAATTCTTAAGATGCATGGGAGTTTGGAAATGCTATGCGTGCACGAAGATTAAGAATTGAAGTGTAAAGTGTGGGTTAGTTAACTACGAAAATCTTGAGATTTTTTTAGAAGTCTAAATAGATTCTTATTGAAGTTATACATACCCTAACAATTTAATCCCCTTTCTATCATGTAATGTTATTTGTATCACTGTTGCTATATCATCAGTCTAATTGACACTGCATGGTAAGTTTAGCTAAATCTATTGCATTTTTTTAATTTTTCATTTGATTTAGATTTAGAGGAGCATGCTGCCATTTCGACGTTAGGTTAGAACACCTCCTCGATTTTACTAGAATAATCTCAAATTTTCAATAATGGCCTTATTATTGTTTATATATGCATATAATTTTTAAAATTTTTACTTATCTCAAGTTTTGATTGATTCAATTTCTTGATGGTGGAGGTTGTGCCTATATGTCTATACTGTCCCGAATATGTATTTGTGGGTCAGATCTTGTGTTTGTCAGTTAGTGCGTGGGGAATAGAAGGCAGTATTTAGAGAATAAAAATTATTGAAAGAAAGAGTGAAAATTCAAAAGAAAAGGGCATAGAAAGGCTTAAATAATTAGTGGGTTCTTCGTAGAAAGCGCAATGGTATGAAAACTTCACTATCGCAGGCCATTGGGTTAACCCATTGGGCCGCCAATCAATTTACCCAAACTATGTCCTCTTCTCTTCTCCGTTCTGATAATTTTTTCTGAACTTAATTCTCTCTCCTCTTTGATTAATTTTTCTTTCTTCTTTTCAATCATTGAATTAGGAGAAGAAATGTCGATTAGTGAGTGAACTTCCCGTTGAATATTTGTTCAAAATCAATGGAATGATAATGGGCTAATTGTTGAGCTCAATTGTAGAATTAATAAAATCAAAAGAAATTAAAAAACAAAAACTTTGTTGTTTTGTTGTGCGTACACAAGATGTGTGTTGGTCGAAACAGAATCAAATTTGATTTTACTATGCATACGCAAGATTTATATTATGCGTATTCATAGTTTTAAAAATTAACCGTTGGCTGATTTTTTTAATTTGAAACTTGTGACCGTTTTGGATTAAAGCTTAGTAGAAACTTAGTTGCCACTTTTCATTTGGCACTATTTTTATGGTGTATTGATTAAAGCTTATAAATAGATAATGAATGATTAATACAAACATATTAGAAAAATTGAAAAATATTTGAAGATCCACGTATCATTCCACATTGAATTAAACTATTGATTTACATTCATATTTAATATCTTTCTAATGTTTTTTAAGTTTTGGAAGATTTTAAATTCTTTACAAGCTTCATATAATCCGACAAACAGTTTGCCAATACCCTTAACCATTTCATTCAATTTCGAGATGGATGAATATCATTTGAGGACAGTGATCCAACTAGCCTTCAAATTTTATCTTGATAACTTTTTGATTTCTTTATGTTGTTACTGTAATTTTTTTTGTTATTCATTTTGTTACTCCAGACCTCTTTGTTTTCCACGGTTCCACAGAATGGTGACGCCAGCCATCTCATGGTCGCGGGCGCTTGTTCAGATATCTCCGTACACTTTCGCCGTCGTCGGAATCGCCGTAGCAATTCGGGTTTCTACCCTTGGCACCGCCCGGTAATTTTCATTTTATATTCTTATTCTAATTTGTTTTGCAATTCGAGAATTTAAAGCTTTTCACTCTATAAATTTATTTAATGTTGTAGGGGAATATCTTTTATTGAGAGCAGTTTAATAGGTGCAGCCATCAAGGCACCTCGCGTTACTTCCAAAAATCTTATTAAGTACATTTTCTGAGGACAAATATAAACCTTTTCCATTTCAATTCTGAGTTCAGTCAGTGTTAATTATGAATGTTGTGACCAATCTCAATGATCTGGTTTATATTCTCTTAATTGATTCTTACTGTTTGATTTATTGCTTCTATGGTTTTATTTTTTTGAAATTTATTATCTATTGAATATTGTTGACGCACTTTGACACAAGTTTACATCAATATGGTAAAACCAAACATTAATGGATGTTTGATGATGGTCAGAACTCGGAAGAGTGATTGGCTGGGTTACTTTCATGAAGACGCTGAAGTCTATAAACTGATGATTTGGAGTTGGGAAGTTCTTGGGCCATTGGTACTGGTCCGTGGGGTGGAGGAAACTGGTCCTTGTTACAGCACAGACCGAGTGGGCGAGGGGGATGTGGGAGAAGAGAAGGTCTATTTTCAAAAAGTTGGATATTGAATCAGCGAGAAGGGCGAATGTTTTGAGAGCATAAGATTTAGTAGACTTGAGATATACAATGAATTTGGAGTAATCTTGAGAATAGAGCCTAGTTGGATACAATAGACGAAGTTGAAATGGGCTGAGGATCGTAACTGTAAGTTGTTTCTTTTAGTAAAAATCGGAAGAATTTTACCATGGAGTTGGAACTTAATTGAGGGAGTACCCTTTTAATTGAGCATGTATTCGCAAGATTGCAGTGCATGCTTGAGCTATCTACAGAAGCAATTGCTAAAATTATTTGGAGGTCATTTATTTGCATGAAATCTAACTTACTCTAAAGTTCCTAGTCACGCTTGCTTGATGAGAAGTTTAAAATTTTTTATTTTTCCATGTCCCAGCAAAGTGTCAGGTGTCCCTCTAAATGCACCTTTCTTTGTAAAGGTTGGGAACAACACTCATATTGAAACACTTCTGCCGACGATCTGCTACGTTAAATGATTATATCGACAATTAGTTTGATGGAGACTGGAATTTATACTTAGCTGCCTAGTTGATTGCTGAGCTAGCTAGTAGGTCCCAAGCAAAGTCTGTTGTGCTTTTGATAATGCGAAGTGAAATCAAAACTTTTAAAAGTTTTACCATTTGCTGCATAAATCCACTTTTGATGGTTGTCGATTTATTATTTCCAACAACCCCTCCTTTCCTTTTCACATATACTACTGTACTTGTAAACTTGCTAAATAGCATCTGAGTTGGCATGTAGTGGTTCAATATTTATTATATTGCAATAAACAAAGTTTGAAGTCACTGTTTTGCAATATCATCCCATGATTGATGATTATTGCTTATTCATGTGTAGATCATGAAATTCATGGTTCACACAACTTATTATGTAGTAGCGTTGGAGATGGGATAGTTGTTGATATGCTTTACGACTTATTGAGTTGCTAGAAACTCTTACGAACACCATTCTTCTCTCGTTGTGATTTTTTGTGAGGTAGTTGCTATACATGGAGTTATTGTAGCCATCATTCTACAAATAAAGTTAGAGAGTCTTCATCCAAGATGTATGCTTAGAGTAGACTACGCAATCTTTGCTTATGGAGTAATTGTGGACTTCGTAAATCTCGTCTGTGGGCAAGTATTAGTTTTCAGCTCTCTATCATATTGTTAAAAAAGTTCCCTATTCACACTGAGAGATTCGACTCTGATTTTTCTTTTTTCCCTCTTCCAACATGTTTCATGAGTGAAGGCTCTGTGTTGGAATAATCGGAAGTAGCTGCGCTTTATCTAATGAACAAAACTCGTCACTTTTCGTTAAGATCCTTGTTATTGAGATGATTGGCAGTGCTCTGGGATTATTTGGTGTTAAAGTAGGCATTATCATGTCAGCTCAAGCAACATGTCCGTCTAAGGCAGCATGACTCGTAGTCTTGAATATGTTATTGGTTCCACGTGTTTGTAAATTCTTTTTCAATTTATTTTTCCTCCTCGTATTTTAGTTTTCGTATTGATGTTCTACATATTGTCAAAATTGGTCAATATTAGCTGAAGAAAATACAAAAACAGTGGTTATTTATGTAATTTAATTCAACTAATAAATTGCAAATTCATTCACCTTGGTGTTTTTTTTTTTACCTTGTAAAGATCATTTCATTTTATTCACAATACATTTTCAATTGATATTTTCGATTATAATGTATTATGAGTCCATCGCGTGAATTGGAATGTAAGGTTTGGACGGGTGATTTTCAAGCTCGGTTATAGAGAGTCCTCAAATTTTTTCAAAATGCATTTTTTTCTCTCTTCTTTTTAACCATACTTTCTTTATGAAAATAATATTACACGTAAATAAAAAACTTTTGCTTATTTTTCAACCACATATTTCACATCAATTTACCATTCTAAAATGCATTTTTACATAAAAATGTCTATAAAAAACCCCCCATAGTTTCAATCTTTCAAAGATGATTATGATTCATATGGTTTTGAAAAACTTCTAACTTGACATCTTCTCAGCCTTACAAGTGTTAAACTCAACTTCGTTGTAGAGGCATGTCTAACTATGTAATGTAGAATTTTAAGATACTAGTTTTAATTTCTTGCTCACGTTGGACATTAGTTATCGAGCTTGTTTGAGCCCCGCTAAATTTTAAGAATGTATTTTGGAATAGTAAATTAATGAGAAACGTGTGTTTAAAAAGTAAGAAAATGTTTTAGATTTGCGTATTATTTTATTAAAGAATGTATGGTTGAAATAAAGATATAGAAAAATTTATTTTGAAAAAAATAAAGATCAAACAAGAGCATAATGTCCAATGTGGACCAGCAACGTATGGTGTTGTCACGTCATATCCCAATTGTTGACGCGGCAATGCACGTTATCACGTCTACATTGAATATTATAATTTCTGTCCACTATGAATAGAAGATCAGATCTATTTGAGAGATTAATACTATGGCGATTAAGGATAAAAAAAACATTTTTAGGCCTTTTGGGAGAATATTTTACGTTTTTTTTTCCCTGTAATGCTATTTTAAATTTTTTTGTAATCCCTACCATATAAAAAGGAGAATGTGAAGTTACTATAGAAAACAACAGTGAGTTATTCCATTTTATTTCACTGTAGCATTTTTAATTTTTTTTTTTCAAGTGGGTGAGCAAAAACGACGCCGTTTGTCTTAGTATATATTTTATTATACACAACCTTCAAATTTACTACAACACGCAACTTTTTATGCCACCAATTTTATCACAATATATTTCTAAAAAATGTAAAAACTTAGTTATAGCTAAAAATTTGTTTCAAGTTTTTTATTTTAAGTTAATATATATATATATATATATATAACTTTCTTTTATTTCATTTTTATTAAATTTTGTTTGAAAATTGTTTTAAAATTTATTTTTCGATTTAAATTTTTTTTATTCTCTTCGCGGGAATTTTTAATTTTGATTAAATAATATTTATTTTTAGTTTTAATTATTTCAATTTAATTCCATTTGTCTCACTATAGCATTTTAAATTTTTTTACCCTAGTGGGTGAGCAAAAAGGACGTTTTTTTGTCTTAGTGTAGATTTTATATACAATACGCAACTTTTCATGCCATCAATCTTATCTCTTCACTCAAAAAATATTATTTCTAAATTTTGTTTTAAAATTTATTTTTTCGATTTAAATTTTTTTTATTCTCTTCGTTTTAAACACGATTTTTTTAAATTTTAATTAAATAATATTTATTTTTACTTTAAATTATTTCAATTTAATTTAAAAACTTTATAATAACTTTTTTTGGTTCATTTTATATTTGTCTGTCTACTATATAAATAGTAATAATAAGATAAAGAGAAAAAAAAGTTATATGAATAAATTGTTGTGCTTACTTAGATATTAGTTTTTAACAAAAAAAAAAAGGAGGGAAAAAATTATATATATAAGCTCTTTGCCTTCTTAGAGATATAAATTTTGTTTCCAGTTAACTAGATTGTATTTATACTAATCTTTATTTAATTTTCATTACTTTCTTTTGCATTGTTTTTATTATATATTTTAACAAAAATGCTTCTTCTTCTGTTTTCCCTTTTCATATCTCTTTTTATTTTTATATGTGGAGTCTAATGTGTTTTCTTTTTTTTTTATTACCTATTTTGTTCTTTTTGTTTGTGTATAAATTCATTCGTATTTTTTTCTCATGCTTTTATTATTTGTGTATTTTTCTACGTGCAAATTCTTTATGAATTTGTTGAGGTTTGGAAGTTTCAAACTTTGAAATTGATGGAATTGGATTTATATTAATTGCCGTGGATATATATATATATATATATATAATGCATGTCAACATAAAGTGGATTAGCATAAGCAAAAGTTACAATGAGTTGAAAGTTTTATAGATGTGTCAAACTTTCAGTGTGGTCTTTTTTGTAGACCATAAACATTGATCTTTCGTTGTTGATTAGTGGGAAAATGCATCTATCGCCCATTTGTAGTCATTTTTTCATAACAAAATCAGCCCAACCTATGGTGAAACATCTTATTACGCCGCTTGGTCTTAAATTTGTGGTAATGTCCCAATTGTGATGTAGAGAATCATGGATCTAAATGCTGCGCACAAATCTCGACAAGTGCTGTCGAACAAAACTTCTTGGTATATACTGCAGCGATGAAAAAAATTCAACTTAAAAAATAAATGATACAACTTACAATTTTTAGGCGGCTGTTAAGACGAGGTGTTAGTATTATTTCAAATATAGGATTATCTGAAGTGTTTCCTTCTTGGCCTTCTTCATCAGAGTAGTATGTAATCTCTAGCCCAGAATAGTCAAATGTAGTCATGTTTAGTGTGTAATTACCGTTATATTCGAATACTAGAATATAACCATCCTGTAAATTGTGATGGTCGAAAAATTGTTCCCATCCATCAATTGGGTATATGTTTCCATCGACTCTTTCTAATTTGATGGTAACAATTATGCCATCATATGCAATTACTTGTCATTAACGAAAGATGTAGGAAGCATCTATATTAAATATACATATATAAAAATAATAAAAACATAAACATATCATAAAATGTATATTAAAACGTCAAAGAAGTACTAACCAGCCGAACATTGTGATTAAGGGAAGGGATGATGATTCTGAAGAAACTACGTGAGACATTCATATTATGAGAACTTTATTGTTTGTTATGTGGAACATTTGAAATATGGATGAGTTGAATGGAAAAAAGTCTGGTGAAAAAATGGAGGTATTTAAGCTAAAAAAAATAGTACTTTGCCTTTTGAATTAGATTTGACAAGAGATTTACGGGTGTTATAATAGACAAATTTTTTCTGAAAAGACTGTCTTTTTATTATTTCCAAAAATAATTTTAAAAAAAAGTGGCCGGAGGCTTAGGCCCCGTATACAGAGGCCATTAGAGAGATTGCATGTTTTTTTCTTTTTCTTTTTCCTTTTTCCTTTTTCCTTTTAACTTGTTTTTGGAAATAATAAAAAGATAGAGGTTTATAAGTAGCAAGCAAAACCAACCTGAGTTTTTAACGAAGCAATACTTCCCACTAATCAATTATGAATTTCAGAGAACATAGTGCAAGAACAAGAACCTGGTTATCAAATCCATGCATAAACTTCATCTAATCAAATAAAATTAAAAACATCTATCTCAAATTAACTAACCTCTTCAAAAAAAATTAAATGATTTATTGCTAATATATACATGTTATATAACGTGAAAAAATACATAATCTAACTCTTCCTCCCAAATTTTGTTTAGATTTTTCCCTATTATATTTGTTTTTATTCATTAGGCACGTTTATTTAAATAAATAATTGGAAATATGATGTCTATATGCACACTTTGATAAATATTTGAAATATGGTGGCTTATCTATGCATAGATATGGATAGTCTATATTTCTCAGAGTTAGCATAATAATAATACTTTTTTTTTTATTTTCCTTGTCAGTGTAGTATGTTTTATTATAATTTTTCTGTTTTGAGTATTGTAGTTGACTTGCTTGCTGTCATAACTTGCTTGCTTTCATAGTCATAATGGGTAAATGGACACCTACATTTTCCCACCTCCAAGTTCTTGAATCTATATTTCATCAAGGCAACACAACTCCAAACAAATCGAAAATCGCACAGATAGTTTCTTAATTGTCGTTATATGGCCAAATTTGTGATAAAAATGGTTATAATTAGTTTAAAAATAAACGTGCTCATTCAAGATGCCATCCTCACAAACACAAAATTCCCAATTTCAGCCAATGGTAAAAGAAGACAAATTGCGTAAAAAGGTTTTAGGTATGATTTTTTGTTTGTTTATGTTATCTTTCATCAATCTTATTTTTATGTTTTTAGGTTGTATTGATGATTGTATTGAGTTATACAAGAATGAAAGTATTTGTCTTGAAAAAGACTCTGAAAAAGAAAATGAAACATCAGAGATTCCTAATATTTTACATGATTCTAAAAGGGTTGATTCCAAACGAATAAATCTACGAGATATTCTGACCAAACCTTATATTCTTCCATCATTTACAATTTGTAAATATTGTGGTGTAAAAAAGTTTCATAAAGAAAGTAAGGGTTTTTGTTGTTGTGATGGAAAAGTTAGATTACAGTTAAATAGTGTTCCTCCTGAATTGTTTGAGCTATTTACTTCTACTTCATGTGAGGCAGTTGCTTTTAAACAAGTTGCTCGTAGTTATAACAATCATTTTGCTTTCACTTCTTTTGCTGTTAAATATGATAAAAATTTATTTAGAAATAATATAGGTATATATACATTTAAAGTTCAAGGAGAAGTGTACCATTTTATAAATCCATTGTTACCAACTGATGGGAAACCAGCATATTTACAGTTATACTTCTATGATACTAATAATGAAATCACTAATAGACTAAAAAATTCTGGCAGCCACATGAAACAACTTTGAGAAAATTGATAGATGTCTTGAAGATGAATCCATATTGTCGTTTTTTCAATCATTAAGTGAAGTTTCTGATTTTGGTTCATGTCATATTGTGCTTAGGCGTGATCCAGGTTTTGACCAAAGACTGTATAATATGCTATTGTGTGAACAAGTAGCCGCAGTTTGGGTTGATGAAGA